TCACATCACCTAGAATAAACTTTATGTGGTAATGTAGACTTTATCTGTCAGTTAGTAAAAACTAGACACTTAATAGAAGGTTTAGAGATTAACTTATTAGAAAAAGTATTGCAAATACACGCGTACACAGTATCGACAAGATTACAGAAGACGATGGTTTACATTTGAGGATATAAGGACAAATCGAGCATTGGGTAAGTTTAGTTATTTATTCTCTGAAGAAGTGGCTTCTATTGAGTCACGAAACGTCAGAGAATCTAATTTTCCTACTCATTGAGATGTTACAAATATATTATTTATTTAAAATAAAATAACTCCTATGTTTTGAATCCATTCACTTCACAATACAATACAACCATAATTCGTTATTATTGGTATTTATCTATTTGAATTCTCTCACTTGGTTAACATCATGATCAGCACTCTTAAACTAAAATCTAATAAACTCCTTGTCAGATCATACTATTAATAAGTAGTTGCTTATAATTTATTTAGATGATGTAGATGAATCTGATATAAATAGCATAATGATTACTGAAAACCAGGAAGTAATAAATGGCTGTTCAGTTCTAGTTTTCATTTTTATTAGATTTTCAACCAATATAAAATGATTCATATATATTTAACTTATTAAATCAATATATTCTATTAATATTCAGCGTGTGTAATTTCAAATACTTTACTTTTGACTAGTGATTAACAGTATAACTCTCAATCACTTGGTCATGAGTTTATTAATTCTAGTCTTAACTAATATATATTATTTTAATATTTAATTCGGTATATATGGCAACCAATTTTGTAACTATTGTGTTGAGTTCAAATTTTCGCTTAATTAACTAAATGTCACAATTAAGCCAGTAACGGGTTTGAAATAACATATGTTCAGCTCCCATTTTCGATTATCTGACTGTTTTAACCTCATCCCTGTGTTATTACTAATTGTTGTTGATCCCTTTCATTATTAAATGTAAGTGCATCCTATGTGTCTACCGAGTCGTAGGTTCAACTTTTCTGCTGTTCTTTTATCTTTCAAACTCTCATACACTCTGCTCATCACACTTTATCTGTTCATCACTTACCTTCAAACTAGACTGAAGCCTACGATATGCTAAAATAAAACAGCAACCTATACCAATTAATAAAATTATTTTTAAATCTATCAGAGTATAAGTCAGTCACAAATGATATTTTTTAAAAACTACCTTGGATTTCTGGTCATATGTGTATTCATGTTTTCAGTTATTAACAAATTTCTCAATCATCATGCTGTGGTATACAGAGATTTGTTTAAAAGTAATTGTTGAAAACTTCTGTGAATTTTTGAAAAATATGGAATAAACATTAACCTATTCAATGTTCATCTTTTCATTGTGAAACGTTTTACTAAGTTTTGATTATTTGAATTTTTTTTAGTGATTCTTGTTTTCACGTGGGAACTATACCATTTTACAATTTCATATTGTATTTTAGTATTAAAATCTTATCTACAGAATGTTAGAACAGAAATATTATCTAATATTTCATCACATTACCGGAATAGCACATAAGTAAATGAATAAATGAAAAAGAAATAAATTTTACTCTTGATAAATTGATTATTCATGTTTAATTGTTATTTCTAAAACATCAAATATCATGTTATTCAAATAAATCCAATGTAACTGAATAAGTAAAAATGTAATGAAGGATCTTAATTATGCTTAATTTTTGAGTATGTAAATGATTAAATGTGACTTCTAAACATATTCATTTGAATTTCGATACAATGTATAATTGTGCAAAATTTTACATGATCATACAGATACATTAAAACAACTAACCTTATAAGTTCAATTTCAGCGTTTATTACTTTTTTCTTAGAAATTATTCTAGTACAATAAAGATAGTTTTTAATAAAGAATTGATATTTACTTGGAAGTTACTGAAACAAGTGGAATTTCACAAATATTTCATTGTTATTTACAATTGTGGAGACAGCTGGCGGTGAACTCAAAGAAGCTCTAAGAAGCTCAGAAAGAGCCGAAGACATTCCATCTAATCATCCTTTGGTAGAATATTCCAGAGTCTCGACGTGTAGCTTCCCGACTGGACAAATGCCAAAAGCCACTGAATACGGATTGGATGACTGTAACGATGACTTCGTTTTTACTAAAAACTATGAATACTTGAGTGTTTTGTACCATATTTGACACTGTTTGGAATAAGATTCTTTCCTACTCTTCTGTCTTCGAACTTGCGACTTGGAGGGTTCTAGTGTTCGAGTGCTCAAATTATACGCAGTATAGCAAAAATCCAAGTCCTAGATATAACAACAACTAAGTAATAATGTTCATTTACCACCTTATATAAAAATAAATTAGCTCTTGAGATAAGTAGGATATTATACCGCAACTGATTCATCCTCATTTTCCAAATTAAATGCAATGGGACAATTACTTGATGTCAATGAAGGTATCTGCTCTAATCACAACGTAGTTGACCACATTAATAACAACATTTCAATAAAAATTGTTTAAGCGTATCTGGATAGAAATCATCAAAAAAACACAAAAATATTACTGAACCTAGAATTTATGGAATAAATTAAGATGATGCATATTTACATTATTATTCTATGTTAATTCAAAGTAAAATTTATTATCAATTTCGCATTGGTTGTTTGGATCTACCGATTAATGTTTCGAGCTGCAATTGACCAGTCTCTTATTGGCATATGCGTATGCTTGACAGATTTTATTTTGCTGATCCATAAACAAATATATGAAATGAATATAAATAGTGTTACAATTAAATGAATGTATCTGTAGATATACTGAAGAGATTAAGAGATTTATTCCACTTACCTAAATATCTATTGTTATCCGGTAGAATGAAATTTCAGCGGCATCAGAATAAGATATGTGGTAAACTTTTTGAGGCTGTTAGCTGCTAATCAATTTTTTGCAAGGAAACATAAACTTGATGTTAGGTGTTAGCCCAAAAATAATACAACTGGAAGATTTTTAGTCTTAAAAACCAATTAGATTGGCCAAAAAATATTCCCTTAATTGATTAAATTTTCTTGTACCATTTAGAGATATTACGATTTGAACAAAATGTTAGTTTAAATTGGTATGAACTTATTTATTCATATCTTTAGGTTCGATTATTTCGAAAACATGACATAATCTACATGCTAAACCAAAATTAACTCATTATTTTATTAATCAAAGAAGCTTGGACCTTATTTCAAAGCAGCATTTATTTTATAAACGAAAGTTGTGTAGTCAATCTTTTCAAATCAAAATTGTCGTTATTCGGTGACGGTACTTATATCACTGAGAGTTGAAATATGAAATTGAAATAGTAATAGAAATTTCAAATTATCATTTGAAACTTTTCAACATAGTTTTTAAAAATTCTTTAAATATTTTATTTTTGTATTATTCATAGTCGAATTGGAGTATTAACGATCTGTTCATAGCGGTACTACGAAAAAAAACTCATCAATAAAATGTAGCTACTCATGAGTAGCTAAACTAAGAGAGACAATGAATGCTGCTTGTCGTTACTGAGTTAAGAGTATGGTATCCATAGAAGTTCTAATCTCTAGATTATTCACCTGATCTTCGTTTATTAATTACTTACATCCAAATAAAATACGCGATAATTCCATGTTCTCTGTAACAAACAAATAGAAAGTCGGATGGTTAATAACAGAAACTTAGTCAAGGTAATGTATCACTTGCTGATATTACTATTCATGTGAAAAGATTTAAGTTTAGGGATGAATAAAGTTTTCATGCTTTCAATTAGCTAATATATTTTTATGAATAGATTCATTCTCCCTCTAGTCTGTACTTGAAATTGTAGACATAGTGTGACGTAAACATTATATCTTTAATATCAAACGGAATTAGCGATGTCTAATACTGAGTTGTTCGGTATTAAACATAGGATGCTTTTTAAATCTCTCTGGTCATTGGTATTTTTCCGACCACCGACAAAGGAAACTGTTAATATATTGTCTAGAATACTGGTTTAATGTATAGACATGAATAGAATAGTTTACCCGTCTACATTGTATTGTTTTCTTCATAATATAAATAGTATATCAAATGAGTAGTGAGTAGTATGTGGAACTGTGTACCCTAAAGCTATCGGAAAGCAAACATTACTTTCGGTTATCTTGTACTGCGAACAAGAAAATCGAATAGTCTTATTACTAGATGCATGAATGAAGTTAAACGAAAACAATATTAGGAGCATGAAACAAATAATATTCATTGAGATTTATAATCTAACATGAAAGAATACTAAAGACAATAAACTATCTTACGTAATATACTTCAGAGCTTCATCTAACTGCATAATATGAGTGTAAGGTACGAATGAGCCGTATACAATTGATGACAGGGCAAGGTCGTTTATGCCTATGAGAATGAATCCTATATAGTCCACCACCTTAACAAGACGTAAGTTCAGTTTAGCGACAAAAATTAATCAGCACGACAATGATAGAAATCAAGTTATTTTTCCTAATCGGCCTCCATACACACATTTTTTCACTAAATAAGTCATAAGAGCTTTTGTTTTGAATAAAATCTCATCAACACCTTAAAAATATTAAAATCGAATATGATAATCAAGCAGATCAGAATTTTTACTTCAAAACGATATCCATTTTGATACCCTTTCAAAAATGAATCATATCTTAATATTTTGGATCTGAAAATATCATTGAGGTTACTTGGCTTGCATCTAAAACAACAATCATTCATCTACGTAGAATTTCCTCAGAAAAAACCGAAGTTCCAGTTGATGTTAAGTTTAGAACGGGTTGTTAATTCATAAAACGATGCTTGCCTGAGAATTGGGCACAATTAACGCACCTAAATTCAAAAACAAACGTACACACCGACCCCTCCAAAAAGCTCAATAGACTTAGTGACAGACGCGCATATACGAACGCACGACACACATACATCCGCACACGCACGTGCATACGCACAGCTCTCACACAGACGCGGATTAGGGATCAACTGTTCGTTCGCGCACTGGATTATCAACTTCTGAATCTGGCATCCCTCTGAATTCCACGGTTTATTCGAATCCTTCGCGGAGTACTTGTAAATAGCTGTCATTTACACGACTGACGGAATCCCAATGGCATCCAATAATATGTACAGAGTCGGGGGTAAGTCCAGTTGATATATATGATAATTGTTCAAGATGGCCGACTACTATAAAGATTTTGAAAGTTTAGATAACGTTCTGACTAAGTTTACAGTTCTTGAGCAACGACTTGGAACGCACATTGTGTTGTCATTGTACACAAATCCATGTATTTAAACCAACGAATCAGGTTGTATGGCGTCTTGTCTTTACCACGGCTAAGTACCTCTATATGAGCCTCCAAAAATATCCCTCCGCTGAACTTGTACAGCTCGAACGTTTCTCCCCTGACTACGCTTTTTTACTTCTACTGGTGTATTTTAAGCAGCTTACATCTAGAATGGTATATTTAAAGGCTTTTTCAGCCACGTCAGCAGTTGTACATTGTGGAGGCTCATGTAGCGAAAAAATATGCAGTACATTACTGATTACATGAAATACTCGTAAAAAACAACATATCTAGCCTGTCCTAATGAAATAGCTCGGCAGTTTCTATAAATTAATCTCAAAACGATCAAATAAAGCACACTGTACTACTGAAGCAACGTTTAATAATTTAGCAGACGAAGGAAACAATTCATTCATTAAATAGTGTTAAATACTTCCGTACATTTTTTTCCAGCTTTTGAACTTCCATATGCCTTAGATGTTTTCAGTGAAGCGTGTTTTTTCTCGAAATCTAACTGACCAAGTTGACTGATCTGTTTGATACAAATATCACATCAAGATCTCTAAAAATGAAAGGCAAGGTGGCATAACACCGCTTTATTTCTGATGTTCATGTGGATACGGTTATATATCTTCATTGACAATAATTATGTCACACATCGGTTAGTCAGGATACTGAGATCGGCTTTGAGGACTCGTGTATCTTCATTATTTCCTACTTCTCGTCATATTTTTACGTCTTCAGTACAAAGTGACTCAATAATGAGGTCAGCAAAAACTCGCTGTGTACCGTCTCCCAATATAAGGTTTTATAACTGATTCTTACTATGTACCCGGCTAACAAAGAATCCGTGATCCATTTTAGCCGATTGCTAGCTATTTCAAATGTATCTAATTTTGGTTAAAGCTTGGTGGATGGGACCTTATTTCAAGGCCTTTTCAAGATCATAGATTATACTAATGGGTTTCTCATTTTCTACAGACCTTGTCCAGATCTCTTACTATGAATATGCATTAAAAAAATACTGCAACTCCTTGCTGTCATTACATGTGGGATAAAATAAATTCACCCTCCAATAATGTAGGTGATTCTTTGGTACTTTTTATAGATCCCTAGATTGTTTGATTTCAACATGTACAGTGTGGGCTTCGAAATGCGCTTGTGAATTACACGTTGCTACTTCATATTTATTTTAAACCAACTGAATACTGGGTTTTTCCGTATGCCTCTTAGATGGCAGTCAGTTGTTGATAATTTTATACAATGCTTTAGTGAGTCTAGGTATAGTTATCTTTGAATTCTTTGTGTGGAAACTTCAAAGAAGGAAAACTGCTGATAAATTGGTTTATGTTGACCTTTGCAGTAAACATCTCTTTAAGGATTTAATTCCTGCTGGAAGGAATGCATTCGTCGTTGGTATATATACTATATATTTTGGAGGAATTTATGGTGATTAATCAGTTGGTGAGAGAACAGAACCTTTGATCTTCAAGCCATTTTTTATGCGTTCTGTAATAACCAATCCTTGAGCAAACAAAATCACGGCAAACAATAGTTTCTGAACCATTACTTGTCTTTTAGATTTTCTAAAGAGGTCCGGCTTTTTCGCAGCATGGATTGGTTACTTAAATGTCAGTTGGATATGATATTTTAACCATACCCTTGTAGTACTAGTTCTAAGAAACAACCAGAGTACTCGAAACCCTTTTATAGAAACCACATTACGATACACTGCCGTTTTAAGCGTGCTTACAATGCACTCTTTAAAATTCACTTTCATGACTGTTCTGCGTCAATCATTAGTTCAACTTTCTATCGAGAGTAGAACAATGAGGACCGTTAGCCACGTCGCATATCTTGGAATTCTGATTAGCCGTGTTTGATGTCTGAAAAAATTCGATACAAGTTTTGAGAGTCTCCCTGACTCCCGACAAATTGCGTCACATGGCTCAGGAAAGGGGTTCGTCTATCAACTGAAGGGCAAGTATACTGTTCATTACAGCCCTGTAATACTCTGTGTCTGTGATAAGTGGTCTATGAAGGTAGGAGATATGTATAGCCTGCACGTCTTTGACCACAGGCAATATTAATGTATCACTAATCGACCTTCTTAGCAATGTTAAAATTAATCATAAGGCAAAAGGTGAAAACTTTTCGACTTCGATTATGCCGATGATATTGTATTACTGTACGATGATATCAAGTTATGCAATCCACATTTAATCAGTTGTCAGTCAATGTCCGTAGGTATGACGTGTGATTTGCACCTTCCAAGTGCAATGAGGTATGGCAACTTGGACCGATGCATATATGTGCCTGGTCCTACGTTGTAGCTGACTGACTGACTCCAAGTGCAAAGTACATGGTGTCGTGGCCATGTCAAACATTGACCACCTCTTTGCTTTTCCCAACCGGTCCCACCGCCGGCAAATAATGCGATGTGGAATTCACTAGGAAGGCATTCTTAATACATGTCCAAACCACTGAAGTCGATGTCTCAAAACAGTGACACCAAGTGAATCATCGTCACTGTGCTGAACACACGATCTCGAACCCCTGCGTTACTGATATGGAGTTGCCACTGAATATCAGCAATCCTTCGGCGACAGTCAGTCAGTAACAACGTAGAACTTCGTACGTACGTACATCAGTTCGAGTTGCCACACCACATTAGCACAGAGATGCACTTGTCGATTCAAATCCCGTAGTGGTAGAGGTAATAAGAGTATAAGCAGTAATCGGGAAGATTAGGGTTTGGAGATGTTATTTAAAGAGTATAATCCAGTGAAAGAAATTTGGAAAGAGGAAAAAAGGGACATGAAGAATTCAGAAGATTAGAATTTGGGAGAACACAGAGAGTGGATGCACCTGCGCCATTGCAAACGATTTTGAGCCATATCATTCAGGGTCTCTAACCATCGGTTGCTGTCATCTCGCGGTCCCCAACCAGGTAGTCTACACCTACCAACATGACTCAGTTCACTTGTCAGTGACTTCATGGACTTGTGCCATGTTTTGGTTTGGCCGCCCCTAGCTTTCTTCCAACCTACTCCTATACCACTGAACATAGCACGTCGAGGCAGTCGGTCGTTGGGCATACGTAACACGTGTCCCAGCCATCTCAACTGATGAAGTTTCACTACTCCATCAATTGATTTGCCATCCTTACCTAGTACCCGTTTCCTAACAACTGTGTTACTTACTCGATGGTCCCATGATATATGAGCAATGTTTCGAAGACACCTATGATCAAATACTAGTAACCTACGGATATCCTCTACTCTTACCGGCCATGTTTCACTGCCATAAAGTAGGACGGAACGAACTGCTGCGCAGTAAACACGTCCTTTGGTTGATAGACGGATATCTCGCCTACGCCATAAATGACGCAAGTTGGCAAAAGCTAGTCGAGCCTTCTGTATCCGTGCTGAGATTTCGTCACACAACAGACCACAAGGGTTGATGAGACTTCCAAGATAAGTGAAGCGGTCGACACACTCAACTACTTCACTCCCTATCACTAGTTCGGGTGTTGATGTAGCCCAATCCTGAAGCAACATTTTGCATTTCGAGGGAGAGAATCGCCTCCCGAACATGCTTGCATTGTTGCTTAGAGTGGTCAGAAGACTCTGCATTTTGTCAGCCTCTTCACCAAATAAAACTATGTCATCAGCATATTCTAAGTCAACAAGTGAACCTCCTGGTAGGAGTTCAACCCCTGTATATTTAGATGAGGAGAGTTATCTCTAAAAGTACGTCAATGACAAAGTTGAACAAGAATGGAGAGAGTGGGCAGCCCTGACGAACACCACTTGAGGTGATCAATTCTGATGACAGTTCGCCATAAGCTCTCACTCTACCAGTTGTGTTCGAGTAGAGAGCCTTTATAAGGTTAATGTACTTCTTTGGTACTCCTTTCAGTGACAAACACTGCCATAGAACCTCACGATCAATAGAGTCGAATGCCGCCTTAAGGTCGAGAAATACTACCATTGTGGGGCGTCTGAATGTGTGTCTGTGTTCTAGAACCTGACGTAGTGTGAATATCTGATCTATACAACCACGTCCAGGTCGAAAAACAGCCTGGTTTTCTCTAGTCTGCTCTTCACGAGCTTTAGTTAGGCGTCGAAGTATTATTGAGGCTAATATTTTAGACACTATATTAGTCAAACTGATTCCTCTGTGATTGTCACAAGAGAACTTTTGTCCTTTCTTAAAAACTGGCACAATCAGTGATTGAGACCAGTCAGATGGGATTACGTCCAGTTCCCAAATTCTACCTAAGACCTCGGTTAATCTCATTGTTAATACTGGACCACCATCCTTAAAAATCTCAGGAGTAAACCTGTCAGGGCCTGCTGCTCTCCCTCGCTTCAGATTTCCTATGGCTTTTTCAACTTCGTAACGGGACGGAGGACCTACATGAACTTGCCATTCAGGTTGACTGGAGATCGTGGGAAACCGAAGTGTGGCTGAAGGCCAGTTGAACTGATCCCTAAAGTGTTCTGCCCATCGATCCAATCTCCTGGATTGAGAATGAATAATATGTCCATCTTTCTCTGAGATTGTTTCGCTAACGGTCGGGTTCCTAATTCCGGTTTCCTTAACGAGTCTGAACAATTGTCTGCTATTACCTATTGCCGCTGCCTTTTCCATCTCTCTTGCTTTCGCTACCCACCACTGTTCGCGATCATTGCGTAGGCTTCCTGTCAGCTTGCGCTTAAGCTGACTCCGCTCTTCATTATGTTCAGAGCCAGGTGGAATGAGTTTCCGAGCATCTATCAGTGCGATAGATGCTGCTGAGATCCAGTGTTGCTCCCTAACTTTCTGGTTTACCTTACTAGCAGATATCG